GCAGGAATGAAAGGCTGTTTTAATTTGATAGAAGAAAAAAAAAAATCGGTAAACTTGCGTTGATAAACTTTCTGAGAATGAATCAAGAAATTGTCATATTAGGAATATCAGCTATTTTCTACACACCAGAATAGGAGAGAAAGGATGAGAAATTACGCGAATAATGGATATGCAGTTCCCTGGATCAGCCCCATTGGAAATGTGTGAAATCTCACGCACAGGATTGCCATTCGACAGAATATCCCACTGTTGAAGACAATGGAAGGAAATGCTAATTTTTCCATTTCTGTAAACATCTGAATGTGCAAAACATGTACGTATCTATTGATCACAGAATGAACCATTTGTAAACCTGAGTGCGCGATTTCTCGGCCTTGAAGAAGTTAAACACGTTCTGAGGTGAGAGTGGAAGCCAAAAAGAAGCAGCAGCACTAACAACTGTGCCAATCGGCTGGCCTTGTTCTGCATTCTTACAAATAGCCACCCGAACTCCACTATTGTTCCCTTCAGACAATTGACGGGAATCCAGTTTTCCTGACATACCCAAACTTGAAGAGAAAATCTTCACCATCCTGTGGGCTAGGTCTACTATGCTCTTTCTACCCTCATGGGAAGTGACCACTGAGCAAATGGAAGATGTTAAAGCAGCAATATTGCAAAGATTGGGAATAAGAGAAAAGGAAAGGCCAAAAACTGATTATTGTTACCTCCTCCGAGTTCTCGTGGAGGCACAGCTGTAGAGAAAGCGAGCCTCTCACAAATCCTCTGGAGACTAGCAATCCATCTTTCTGCCCCATAAGCATAACTACCACATATGAGATCTCGGTACAGGCGGTGAGTTTGAATCCTATCGTTCGCTTCCACATGTTCTACCCATATTATCTATCAAAGTTTGAGCAATAAGAAATTAGTCTCGCACGGGATCCAGTAAAATATTGTCAGATAAGTTAAGATATAATGCTATGATAACGATTCCATGCTAAATTAGGCACACAATTTTTGAGTCATCATTGGTAGGTAGCTCATGGAGACGCATACAAATGCCTGCTTATGACAGTAAAAGATCATATATGATATTTACCAGTGATGAAAAAGTTGGTATCATATTAATGAGGTTCTGCGGATATGCTTGATTTAGAATAGTCATGCTCAGTTCTTGATATGATCATTACACTAAATGCAGCCGTTAATCAAATCGTGTCGTGTTGTGGTAGAAAAAGAGTTCAAATATTCTGTTAAAAAAGGATAGAGATGCTAGGCTCCATTCATTTCATAGTTCATTGATTAACTGACAACTGCGCTTCCTCGTTATTCATCAGAATTGGTATCATTCGATGATTGTAAAGCTCATCAGGAATCAGCCCTAATCTGCTTGATCTAGGACAAGCAGTTCTCAGAAGTGCTGCTTGCTCATTCATTTCAAAATTTCTGATACAGATATGCAGGTACTAATCACCTTGGAACATCCATTAGGCATGTCTTGGATCATGCATCCAGAAGGAAGCCGCCAAGCGCAGGAAGGGGATCCGCTTTCTTTCAAGTAGTCATAAGATACATCAGCTATCACCCATTGCCCAGGTTCAAGTTGCTGACAAAGGCGAAGGAAGTAAAATTCCCTAGGCCGAACCAAGGGTGATAGTATGTGCATTTGTTCATACATCTGCATTTAACCTCTTCAAATCAATACATAACTCATGCTTTAACAAAATTTAAGGAATGCTAGGAATAATTAGCAACTTAACATACCATCTGCAACGAACCATGACGGTTCCCTACTGTTCCAGCTTCAAGTACCTTAATTGTTCTTGCTTCGGTAACAATTGTCGGGAAAAGATCCACCCATTTGTTCTGTAAAATCAAAGCATATAGTTAAACTTGTTTCCTCTTTAGCAAAATATTATCTGATTTTACAGGATGGAAACTAACAGCCAATATTGAGCACTAACAGGATCCAAGAACATGTCAACCAAGTCCATTCCAGGCATGGTCACTGTTGCCGAATCCTTGGATGATTCGACACGAGCATTGCAACTTATGAAGTGAGCGGCCCTGGGGTAAATTCTCTCATAAATGAGCCGATCAAGGACGAATCTTCCATCAGATGGAGACTTGATCCAAAAAGGCTCATTTACTCGCAAAAGTCCTATCAACTCATCCATTGCGCCGGCAGCAGTCTCAGCCATGAGTGCATTTTCCATATCTGGAATTCCTTCAAGTCTATATGCCAAATGACTAATGTCCGATCCTGGATTCCGTTCCAAATCAATGCCAGGGTTTCCCATCCTTTGATTCTGGACAAATGTTGGCAGTTCTCCCTGTGAAGATCCAGCGTCAGACGTCAACAAATCAATCTGTGACTTCGGTTTTCCAATAAACTTGGCAAGAAGGATGGATACTTTTTCATGCTGCACAACAATCATAAGTAATCATCACCAAAACTAAATCCTTAAAACTCTGGAGATAAGAACCTATATGTATCATTAAGAAGTATGAGGTGATATTACAAAAGGACTATTGAAAAAAAAATCCAAACTAGCCTCTTCTCTCAATCTATCATTTTCCTGCCTCAGTTTCTGCAAATTAAGTTGGCGTTCTTCTTCTCCTAAAGGGGGGCCTCCACAAGCAGGGCAAATCACGTTTTTCATTGCCTCTCTGATCGCAAGATTTTCACAATGAATCCTCTCATTTTCTGTCCGATGAACCGAATTATCTGATCGTTCACTTTGCGCCTGCGAGATGGATCAGAAGGTACAAGAGCATTGCTCTATCATTAAGGGGTACAATTTATTCAAACACAGAAGCTTTGACTAAGAAATCACGAGTACCTTTGCCTGCGTCCTTCTGTTTTGAAACCAGAACTTGATCTGTTTAGCCTCCAGGCCTAGTTCCCTACTCAACTGACGCCGCTGTTTTTCATTCGGATGTGGACATTCCTTGAAAAATCTTCGTCAGACCACCAAAAACACAGATTATTTTCAACACACGGAAGATAAAGGGTGGGGGAAGGAAGGACTTCCTGAAGAAACATCAAATATTCTTACAAGATGCATGTACAAATCCTGACATTTAGTAATTAACTAAGCCAAGTAATTAATTAATTAAGGAAGCAAACAAGCCGAACAACACATTAAGGGCCAAACACATAGGAAAATTGACTTAATCAAGACAGAAATGAATGTATTAACACCGCCACCTATCTGAAATGGGGAAATGATGGAAAATTCCGCTTCCATTCACTGATAAATAAAATAGATCCATTATAGATGTCAAGTGAAATGACTTAGTCCAAAAGCCACTCAACTATGCCTTTGCAAGACTATATATCTATACCAACTACTATTCGAAGGCAAATTAAGCCTAATAAAGCCCTTACCAAAAAGAGTAAACCAAGAGAGAAACACCAGAAAAAAAGAACATGAAAATATATACAAGGATTTGCTCATGAACATCAACAAAAGCCCCGAAGTCGTAAAAAATGGATGGAAAAACTAGAAATCAAACCTATCATATCTCAAGAACATAAAATATAGTTCTTGATAAGATAAATTCAGTGATAATTTTGTGATACTTTTCAAGCTGCAGAATCTGTTGACAAGTATGGCGATGGTAAGCCTTCTTTCCCTTATTTCCAGAGTTAAAATCTTCATAATGTTCATCACCAGAAGCACCTCCATTGTTTCCCATTTGAAGCTCCATTTTTTTATCCCACTCTCAAAAAATATTATCACTACAACTCAGGCTAGTGATACAATGAGCACTTTGTGTTTATATATCAGATACTTCGCATATATAGCCCAACAATTGGATTCCAAACAAGGACAGAAAATGAACACCAAACCAGCCCTATAAAGAGAGATATCTGATTCTTGGGTTTCTACTGTTTTAGGTATATTATTTTTGTGAAAAACGAAAAAAATCTTCTGGCCATGAACTACATTACACGTTACAGGAAAAAAAGCAATGTG